GAAATTTATTGTTTTCCGTTGGGAGTCCGAAGTGGATCTTAAAGATAAGACAAAATAAAAGCAAGCGATAAATATATTTGGTTCATTTTCTTTTAAAGAACTGTCTGATGTATCTACAGTTCAATATCGTATGGTCTATTCAATAGTGGATCCAAGTTATGGGAACTTTTGCTTCTGCAAACAAAATTCAAATGATTTTTGATAACCAGTACAGTAGTCATTATTATTTGTGCTACAATGACTTTACAGATAGAAACTGAAGCCTCAAAAGAAACTTTGAAGTTTCAGGTACTATCGATGGAACTAGAGATCTGATATCTGAGAGTCGAGCAAACGAATAACATAGCATCACGCCTTTTATCCCCGAAGGAGTAGGCAGAGGTGCACATTATACCCCTGTACAATGTAACATCCACTTTTCACTATTTATGTTATGAGTCCCATGTAATAGGGGGTAAGCCTATAGCCATATACCGGGCACATTTCCAGACTCCGAGCTACTACTGAGATTTTTAAAAACCCAGTAATACTTTGCCCGACCCGGGAATTGAACCCGAGACCCCTTGCCCGGCAGTCGCACTTGCGACCACTCGGCCAACGAGGCAGCAGACGATGAAGAAGTCAATTTCCAATATTTGTCACCTTAGCACCTTAATTCTATTAGTGTCTATTTTCTTCTGTACTGTTGTATACACTACTTATAGATAGCAACCAAATCCTTACTTCCTTACTATTACTATAATAATATTATAAATCGGAAAGTGACTTTGTTTGTTTGTTTGTTCCGCTTTCATGCCGTGACTACTGAACCGATTGCTTTGAATTTTTGCAGACGTAAAGTTAGAAGTCCGGATTAAATAATAGGATACTTTTTATCCCGAAAAAAATGTGATATTCCCGAGGGAAAACAAAAGTATTGGTATAGATGGCGCTGTGTGTATTGGTATGATATTACGTCAAAAAAGTAGCCCTTTTTTCCTTTTGTGACGCGAGCGAAGCTGCGGGTAAAAGCTAGTAAATATATAGAACACAAACCACATTGCATTCTTAACATTTCAGTCAATCACAAAACAACACAGAGCGCGAACTCTTTTCAAAAACCTAAAAGAAACCTTATAAAAAATTCATTTGGTTGTTGTGCCACAAATCCTTGGCCCATTCTCGGTGTGAGTAACACTGGCCGCTGCAGCTCGTCTGATTATTTATTTAAAACCTTCCTTGTATACTTTATACGCCGCAGTTACTTGCACAGAGGTGCATTCGTAATTCCTACTTTGTTGTGACGTCATAACTATGTTAGTGAGATTTTGAGTCCTTGGAATTTTGAGGAGAGAGAATAGTATATGTCGTAGTGTGTGCAGATATTGCTTAAATAATGGTAGACTTCAACTGAAAATTAAATAATCACTAAACAAAGTCGCTATTCGCCGTCTGTCTGTCCCTATGTGTGCTTAGATCTTTAAAATTACGCTACGGATTTTGATACGGTTTTTAATAGATTAAGCGATTCTTAAAGAAAGTTTATATGTATAATACATGCATATTGCACACGTGCGAAGCCGGGCGAGTCGCGAGTATAATAATATAGCATTCTTTGTAGGTACAAATTTCATTCTCAGTGTATAAATTAATTTATTTAGACATTATTTTGTAACGTAATGTTATGCCGACTAGCCAGATAGACAAGACGATAGTTAAGACTACAGTCTTAACTATTAATTTGAAATAAATCATCTAGTCTTAACTTATGTTTACAAAATAAATTGAAAAATATAAAGCACTAGACAAACAATGGAACGTTCCATAAAATCCCCAGTTCAATAGACTATTACCTAAACTGAATTCATTGCTAAATTAACTTTTGACAGCAACAGCGATTGGACTAACACGACTATTCGCTTCAGTGGCGCCAACTGGTGAGCGCAAAACTGAAAACCCTCATTAGTTTCGGGTGTTTGAACAAAGGGATGCGTCTAGCGATCCTCTTAATGAGGAGTACTGTGCCTCTTGCGTTATGTACTTATTATTAAATGGTGTTGGGAGTTTGAACACGTATTTTATAGTAGGTATAGGTTAAGTATAAGAGTCGTGGTGGCTCCGGGCCACGCCGTTTAAGACACTTCTCATGTATGAGGATGCGGGCTCTAAACCTACCAATAGTAAATACCAATGTGACATTTTCCGAAATGTATGTACTTTCTAAGATTTTTCAAACACCTCTGACAAACGCTTATAATTTCTTATTAATTTATATAAACGCTTATAAATTATAAGCCCAAGTTTCCGTATTCAATCATTTATTTTATAAGTTTGAAATCGCCACCGCCAATCCGCATCGAGGAAACGTGGTGGTTAATGCTCAAACCTTCTCCATGTAAAAAGATGCCTTTGGTCAGCAATAGTTACCTATTTATTATATAGGTTGGTGTTGTTAAGCATAACATTAAAATTATATGGCTGATATTCTATCAGAGTGAAGAATCTGATACCTCCTGTTTCATAATATAACAACACTTGCGATCATTCCACACAGGAGGTATTCAGTTCAAAATGTACTTTAGTGGTAAGCATTACTGTCTTTACCATAAGAGCACTCGGGGCCCGTGCCCAGGGCCTCCATCCTCATGGGGCGTCGAAGGACCGACAATTATAACGACGGACACGGCAACCGGTGGCCGTGCAACTTGAAGCGGGTCCGATTCCCGCATGGAGCAAATCTTTGTGTGCTCCACAAATTGTTGTCTGGGTATCATGTGAACTTGTATGTTTGGCAATGCACGATACAGGAGAAAATTGTAGCGTGGGGCAACGTTGATAAAAAAACATTCCAAAAGCGAGCGCTTTTAATGTGTGTCCAATGACTCCAGCGTAGTCTAAGAGGGCCCTGGTGGTAAGTTTTACTTAACATAAGATATAGGTGCATGTTAAATAATGTTGGTCTGTATTTAAATACTCTATGTCACAAGATAAGTCCTCTCTCATATTTATATAGAAGTTAGAATAAATGCCTCGTTGGCCGGGTGGTTGCAAGCGCGACTGCCGGGCAAGGGGTCTCGGGCTCGGGTTCGATTTCCGGGCCGGGCAAAGTATTATTTATTTATTTATGTACACACATACAACATAAAGGACAACACATACATAAAATTAAAGTACAAAGGACTTTTTTTTAAAAACTGGATTTAAAAAAAAAACTCAGTAGTAGCACGGAGTTTGGAATTGTGCCCAGTATATGGCAATAGGCTCACCCCCTATTACATGGGGCTCATAACATAAATACTGAAAAGTGGGTGTTACATTGTACAGTGGCATTAAATGCCATAATGTACATCTCTGCTTACGGTCTACCCCTTTGTGGATAAAAAACATGATGTTATGTTGTGTGTAAGAATAAAACTTTCTTTCTTTCTTTGAACTTGTTAGAAGAAAGAAACTCGACTCTGCTTTAAAATTAGATGAAGACAAACTTTATGCATTAAAGTTTTATAACTTTGCTTCTTCGTGTTGAATAAAGATTATAGAATAGCACAAATAGTAGGGTAGTTTCCTAAATTTTATTTTAATGTCCGTCTCGTACATTAATTTAAAACTTTAGACACGTATTTTTTCTTTTCTAACAAAATTAAATACTTTCGACGATATAGGTATTAATTTGAAATATCGTGTGACGTCACAGCGTGTCACATTATGTAGCACGTTATGACGTAACGACCTCCCATTCCTAAACTTAGCGCAATTTTATTAAAGTATTGTAACTTAATACGAGAAAATAAAAAATACGTGTCTAATATTTTTTCATTAGGTATCTAACTGACGGACTAATTACATTTTTAATTTTGATACCCTGGAGACAACCCAATTATGTACTAGGATATTCTTTTATAGTGTATTTTCCATGTAGTTTATGTTCATCATTCATGGGTTAAAGTTTATGACACAATTTTAGAGACCAGCTCTGAAAAGAGCTTTAATGGAATTTTTATTGTATTTATGGACTGCACAGTTGGCGTGGTGGTTTGGCAACCGGCTTCCGCGCAATGTGTAACGGGTTCGATTCCCGCACGAAGCAAACTTTGTGTGATCCACAGATTGTTGTTTTGAGTCTGGATGTCATGTGTATGTGAGCTTGTGTATTTGTAAACGCACCCACGACACAGGGGAAAATTTTAGAGCAGAGCAACGTTTTAATAAAAAACATTCTTCTATATTTTCTTTTTTTTATTATTTTTAATTGGACAAACTTTAATACGTCAGGCATCGATCATCATAATAAATTAGGTTAATCACCTTGTTGTATATAAATAAAGCACTTTAGATAACTTCAACTGTTTATTATATGCAATTAAGTATTAATAAATTAATCATATTGATACGCGTCACTGCACACGCGAGCGAGAGAGAGATAGAGAGCCTATTTCAAGCTATAGACAAGACGCATTTCGTGATGGTACTATAGTTAATTTGCTAGGCGTTAGCATATACTGCGTTCATACTAACACATCTCTAGTGTAAGTCATCTGTAAATATTTTTTTTTGTCTTAAAAAAAACGTTGCCCCACACTAGGATTATCTCCTGTGTCGTGGGTGCGTTTACAAACATACAAGTTCACATACACGCGATAACCAGACCCGAAACAACAATTTGTGGATCACACAAAGTGTTGTTCCGTGCGGGAATCGAACCCCCGACACGTTGCACGGCAGCTGGTTGCCCAACCACCGCACCAACCGTGCAGTCGGTCAACTAATATTGCAGTTAAGAATAACTGAAAAAAAGAATCTCATAGGTTATGATTCCATGTGGGCATTTAGTAGTAAAAACAACTTGTTTTATCACGATCCAATAAATAATCGGCCTAAAAATTTGATCAACCGTCTAACATAAAATTCCGAAATATACAGATTAGGCTGCCTATTTTTTTACGTAGTACCTGTCTGCTGTTTTCACGCACTTACCTATGGAATATTGAACAGTATTGAATAAATGATAACTAAAGAAGGTTCTACTTACTTGTGGCGCTCACTTCAGGCCCCAGAGACTCGAAAGCTTTGCCAAAACTCAGCTTAAGTAGGCGATCTGAATCTGAAACAAATAGTTTAACTTAAAATTCAGTTCCGCGCCTTAGAACGCCATCTGTGTTTTAAGTACGGAGTGACTCTTCCCTTGCAACGCTATGAAACTGGGTTACTTTATTCGTGGTTGCCACGCTACCAGAATGCGTAGTATAAGCATGTTTCGCTAGATGGCGCTGTTTTATATTTGTTGAAGTCAAGTGGTAGAGGCAGTTATTCAAAATTAGAATAAAGGTACCTAACATAAAATAGAAGTACTAACATCATAGTAAATTTTAATAACGGTTTACAACATAGTTATTGAAATCACTAAACCCGTTATTGTCAATATTTACAATATGACCTAAAGACAACATCCATAACGTGAGTAGGTACACTGTAGTACCTACTTATAATACCTATTTAAATATTTATGGTAGTCAAGTTGGTATTTTCTTATTCACATGGGATTTGTTTATCAAAATATGTAAATATTATTTCAAGTAATATTCTATCTAAGTAGGTAATTTCTAAAACATTTCCAACCAAGGTTTATAGGGAATTTGCATCTTATGCAGAAGTGTCAGGTGAGACTTGCGATTCCAATCTAAATAAGCGGTACCAAGAGGTCGGCTGGACAACCGCCAACATTTCTATTCATAGTACCTACCTACCATGTTGGCACTCGCAAATTTAACTGCAGCCGACGCATTTACGAGTCCCTCGTTACAAATTCACTACATTTTTTACTGTTTAATAGCCTCCATTTTGTTACAGAAACATTTTAGTTAAATTAAAGAGAGGTTTTTTTATACGTTACGAAAATCTTCTGCCTTTTACAATAGATGTCGCTGTTAATCAAAATTAATCTTCTGTTAATTTTAGGTTTTTTTTACGTCTTTAGACTTTTATTTTTAGTGGTCTTACTGAAAACGGTTTAGAATAACGTACCTATCTATTTCACTAATAAAATGAATGAATTGAGTCTCAAACTAAAGTAACACCACACAAAATTCTCAACACACACTTCAGAGCAGAGATCAATATTAATTGGGCAAATTGTGGCTCTAACTTTGCATTGAGTTGCGAGTAACTTGAGGTCGATACTAACCAATGTAGTTTGAACTTCTCCTTCATTAGTGAACACAGGAACTGAACCACATTACTGTACAATGGCGTGAATTCCTCTATTTATAGGTATGTGTACAGTAAACTCAATTGAAACTATTCGTATGTTTCTCCCTCTTCACTTACTGGGGGAAATAAGTTATGGAAAGGCATAGAGTATATTTTGAGACGTAAATTCATTGACAGAAAGAGGTAATAGCATTAACTCTTTATGTACCTACTAGTTTTTACTCACATTGCCCGCGTATTCCTGTTATACCCCATGGAAACATTTAATTAGGATAAAAATCGATATCCTAACACTCAAGTCAGCCCATACCCAGTTTTCTTACCAAATTTCATCAAAATCAGTTCATCAGTAGTTTCAGCGTTATTAATGGACAAGTAAGTTTATTGTTTTATGCTTTTTTTTTTTGTTTTTCGCTGCTGTTTTTTTAATGTATTATAGTGAAAAGTGGGTGTTACATTGTACAGTGGCATAATGTGCACCTCTGCCTACTCCTTACCCTCGAGGATAAAAGGCGTGATGTTATGTTATGTGTTTTTTTTATGTTATTTTATGGACTATTTTTTTATGTTATGTTTGTAGATATATTTGGTGGGTCATGCCTAATGACGAATAAATTATTTTTCTTTGTTTATTTCTTTCTTTATAAAGTTTCTTTGTTTGGAAACTTTCACAGTTATAATATTAGCGTGATCTATTGAAAATCAGATCAAATTTAACAAAGTTTATATTACCAGTATCACCATCATCAACAACCAATCATATGCTGCTATATTGCTGGTCTATGATGGACCTTTTGTACTTTGAGAGTATGCCATAGTCTATACACGTGGCATGTCATCAGAATAGTTTAAGGTGTATACCAACCAGCAGCAGTTGAGTCGGGTGGTGGTTGAAACAGGAATGTGGCTGCGAACCCCTGGCCTGGTGTGGCCGAATTGGCGGTGAACTGGATGAGCAGCGCTGGGCCCGTCGACAGCACCTCGTAGCCTGAAACATTATGCAGTATTTATTAATATTGTAGTTCGTAGATGGTTAGGATTTGATTGGAGTCATAACTAAATTCATGGACACTGAATTGATAAGTCGAATTTTTCGAATATAATTTTTGTAAGTATATGTAACTTATAATTTCACGTCTGGTGTCGTGGTGGCCCGGAGGTTGAAGACGCCTGCTTCTCATGGACGAGGGTGCAGGTTCGAAACCTACCAACGGCAAGTACCAATGTGACTTTTTCCGAGTTATATGTACTTTCTAAGATTATTTAGACACCACTGACCAACGGTGAAGGAAAATATCGTGAGGAAACCTAGGGCTTATAATTTCTAATTATAAGTTTGAAATCGCCAATCCACATTGAGCAAGCGTGGTGATTAATGCTCTAACCTTCTCCATGTGAGAAGAGGCTTTGCTTAGCAGTGGGCATTTATAAGCTGTTGATGATAATGATGATGATGATGATATTTTCACGTCTTATATTTCCTGAACAGTACCACATAATCTATAAATGTTTAAATAGATCAGGATAACAAGTCTAAAACCCAATTTACTTAACAAAATGAAACCGCAACCGCATGACAGTATCGAATTCAAAACAGAAATCAGACGAAAGCTTTAAACTTGGATTAGAGGATGATCATGGGTCCTTTTAATCCAATCCCTAAGTTATTAGACCCAAATTGACCCCAATTTCAATTTTAGAGCTCATAGCTGTGACCGACTTTGATGCTAAAGTTTAACGAATCTCCGATCCTGCACTCTAATATGTATTAACGGTTTCGAGCCATGAAAAGTTGAACTGAAAATCTATCACACAGAAAATCCCAGCGCAGTTTAGAATTCAAAATCTCCTTTAAAACAAAATCTCCTTTCCTCACAACAAAAGAATGGCAATGTCGATTTACAAAACGTCGCGAATTTTGCCGTCAAAGAAGTTGCTATAAGTATTTTGTTGGTATAGATTGTACAGTCAGCCAAGTAACTTGGTTTATAGAAAGAAAATATACCTCTAGATTGATTTAGTACAGATACAGAAACTATTGTTTAGCTACCAATAGTTACAGGATATGGTTTCATCAAAGATTAAAGAAATCATGTATAAAATAATCTTTACTGAGATGCCCTAAATTAACTAATTGAAAACCTTTTAAGTTAGTAGCAACAATACTAAAAAATACCGATTGGTATTCACATATGTGACAATTATTCACACTTCCAAACATGGACACGTACACACATTTACATACACACCTACTACACACAACAGATGCAAACACGCACAAACGCACACACACTTACTCACCCACTCACTCACATACACACACAAACACACGCGCGCACACTTTCACATACACACATTTATATTAAAGCATTTTGTTTTATATTTTTGTTTTGTTTGTTAGGGAGCCTGGGCCGCACGACTCATAGAATCAGAGAAGGGGAGGGAGGGTCCAGGATACAACAAATTTTCTAGAAATATTTTCTAGAATAAACATTATTTTTATATTCTTATTAACTAAGAATCGCGGGTTACTGGTTACTCCCGCGAATATACTGAGAACTATAGAGAGAAGCTCTACTAGTTTCCAACCACAGAGGGGCTCTTTCTCATGAGCAGCGTGCGTGGACCCGGCGATGTTGCGCTGCCTACTAGCTAGCTTTGGCGCTTGCATTGATGTTGTTACTTGCGTTACTAAGCTAGTAGAACTTTTTCTGCATTTTCACGTGTATAACCTGCGATTCTTAGTTAATAATCTTTCCTATCTGTACAGAATCAATTTGTATTTTCTAATCTGCATGCCAAGTAAATTGGCCGACAGTACACGCGAAAATTGTGAGACGAAATTCTCTTAGAACACGTCACTTCCGTGTTATACACATGTCATATAGACGGTATGTTATGTTATATTGGACGGAAACATGTATGTAGGTAACATGTTCTGAATAACATCTCGGTTCTATTGTCACTTGGGGTTTTTGAAGAGGGTTGGTATTGAAAAGATGAGCGCACTAGGGATTTAAAGATCTTCATTGTTGGTGACTTTTGATGATGTAATATTCGCATGTAAAGTTTAATGATAGGTATGTATCCGATTAGTATTTTTTTATGGAATAGGAGGCAAATGAGCAGACGGATCACCTGATGTAAGCGATCAACGCCGCCCATGGACACTCGCAACACCAGGGAAGTCACAGGTGCGTTGCCGGCCATTTAAAAAGGATTCCGCTCTTTTCTTGAAGGTTTGAAGGTCGTATCGGTTCGGAAATACCGCCGACGACAGATCATTCCACCGCACCGTTTTGATGTGCGAGGCAGAAAGCTACCTATGTGAGAAGCGCACAGTTGTGGCCTGCCAACCATCTATATGATACATATGCTGTCGTGAGGGTCGATGGCGAAAAGATGGGCTGTCTCCCATGGGGGTAGGCAGAGACTATGGAGCGCTTATTCCTACATATACCTCTTTCGTTTCATCAATAGTCATCTTCGTTTTTTGTTTTTTCCTGCTTGCTCGTCAGTTAAACGTAATAAAATCGTAGGAAAGTGAAAACCGTACATCGAATAATTTTTAAAGACTGCTTTGGGCGTGATCTACTGTCGATACCGAAAACAAAAACATGGTGTTTATAATTTTTGTCTGTTTGCCTGTATGTATGTCCGCGATGAACTTAGAAAGTGCTGCAAAGATTTACTTAAAATTTTGCATGAATATTACTAACAGGTCGGGTCAACATTCTATCAACTACGTACTACCCCGTAACTACCCCGTAAATCACTATTCCACGCGGACGAAGTCGCGGGGTCAGCTGTTCTAGAAATATCGATAGGTCTGTAGCTTAGTATGTTATTAGTAAGTAACGATCAACAAACTTGATAATTATAGTACATAGGTAGGTACTTTATTAATTGTCTATTGCGGTTATCTGGTGTTCAGAGATCAAGGGTTTTTAAGATAAAACAGTGCTTCAACGTTTAAGGTTACCTAGATCTGTTAAGTAAGTATTACAAATATTAATGTCATGTGTTTTAATCGCTGACGGGTAGATAGATGTCATCATCATCAACAGCCCATAAATGCCCACTGCTGAGCAAAGCCTCTTCTCACACGGAGAAGGTTAGAGCATTAATCACCACGCTGGCTCAATGCGGGTTGGCGATTTCAAACTCATAATAAGAAATTATAAGTCCAGGTTTCCTCACGATGTTTTTCCTTCACCGTTTGTCAGTGGTGTCTAAATAATCTTAGAAAGTACATATAACTCGGAAAAAGTCACATTGGTACTTGCCGTTGGTAGGTTTCGAACCCGCACCCTCATGCATGAGAAGTGGGCGTCTTAAACCTCCGGGCCACCACGACGACTAGTAGATAGATGTGTGTGTACATTAAATACTATTATTATAAAACTGAAGACTTCGCTTGTTTGAACGTGCTTATCTCCGGAACTACGGATCTGATTTGAAGAATTATTGTTGTGTTGGATAGTCCATTTGTTGAGGAAGGCTATATTTGTGTTTCGTCGCGTGAGTGAGGTTACCGGAGGTCGAATTACCCCTCCCGCCAAAGAGGGGAGGGGTGATTATTGGGGACTCAGGGATTGGGAAAGCCCAATCCCTCAATCCTCAAATTCCTAATCCCAAAAGGCCGGTAACGCACTTGTAACGCCTCTGGTGTTCCAGGCGACGCCGATTGCTTACCATCAGGTGACCCTTCTGCTCGTTGACCGGCTTATCCCATAAAAAAATATAAATATTAAACATCACACCATATTCTACATCATAACTATTTGCGATTTCATATTAGTGTCAAGATCCTGCATGACTAACACGTACAGATAAAGGTTCAAGGTTCGAGTCCAGTTTACAGCCCGCTAATGTCAAGTGCAAACGGTAACGATAGCTTATCTCTTTACTTACTAACTTATAAGCAAATCCGTGTAAGAACTAATTACTTAAATACATAAGTTATTTATAATACATACATAGTTATGTACCTACGTATTGGTTATGTATGTGATAAAATAAATTGTGTAGTTCAAATATTTTCATTGATATGTTTGTATTAATAGGGGCCTCAACTACGTATTGGTGTTAGATATAGGCTTATATTATATTATATAGGCTTTATTAACATAAAGCCGACATACCAAACCTAACGGTTTGGTATGTCGTTTCTATGTATAGAATACTGTAAATAACTTGATCCAATAATACAATATGCTTATGTATGTAAACAAAACTTTTTAGGAGGTTTATGAAACCCATTCATTGACTTTTGTATACAGTCAGCTACAGCTTTCTAGGTATATCGGCATCGCTCTCATGAAGTTCTAAGCTAAGTTCGTGTATGTAATTGCAAAAGTGTGGGAGAACCATGCTTCGGGACGAATGGGCCGATGTCAAACAACGTTTGCGTGTTTCATCGTGTGAGTGAGGTTACCAGACGTCCAAATACCCCCCTCTCCAATCCCCGAATCCTCCAAAATTCCTTACATTCTCAAAAACCCGGTAGACGCACTTGTAACGTTTCCGGTGGTTCAGGCATAGTATAAAGAACAGAGTAGGTTATCTTCATACAAATGCTCCGCGCGCGGCTTATATGTGTGCGCCATAGTATCTATGCGTCGACGCACGCACACTTTAACAAAATCTCGACCCGTTTCTCAGTGCGCCAGGCAGGGCTAACACTGCACGAGGTTCGCGCGCGCATCACTTTTCGGCACTGTTAAATGAAATAAAAAATGTCTGATAACCGTAGAAGAACGTATTGCTGTGTGTTTGGGTGTCTTAATAATTAATCGATTCCAGAACTGTCTCTGTTCAGATTACCTATTGAACAGGAAAGGTAAGCTAGTCACTTTTTCTAGCATAAGTAATATAATTTGTAGGTACTTGATGATGAGATACCTACTTACTTATTCTTACTCTTATCATTCTTCATAGTTCCTACTCAACCAGAAATGTAATTACCTACTATACTTAAATATTATA